AAGTTGCGAACTAATCAGAAGTTTCTCTAGATCTTTGAAAAGTTGTATGAAGCAAGGGAAGCGGTAAAGTTGTAAAGACAATTTAAAGTCATTGGAAGAAACGACTTACCAGAAATCTTGGTTTGGGTTTGTTAAGAACTATAACCTCGTTAAAGTTGGCAGAAGATTCCAATTAGTATATACATATATATATATATATATATAGAAAGGCTTGACCGATCAAGCTACCAACGACGTTCATTATCGTCTTCCAAATCTCTCCTTCAGAGAATTCAATCCCCTTTATATAAAAAAAAAATAATAATAATAATAATAATAATTATAATAAATTTTTTCCTGAAAATGTTTATTTTTTAAATAATAACAATATTAATTAATAATAATTAATATTAACAATAATATTATTAATATAATGAAAATATTTAAAATTAAAAAAACATAAACAGTTAAAAAATATAGGAATATAAAAATATATAATAAAAATTTGAAAAAGTGTAGAAAGTATAAAAAGAGAAAAATTCTATAATTAATAGAAGATAAATTAAATTATAAATAAATAATTTATGAAATTATAAAGTAATTGCGAATTTACCTATTTTTGGGAGTAATTACAAAAAAATCAAAAAAAATTATAATAGAAAAATTCTCAATAGTGAAACTTTTTCCTTTTCTATTTTTCCCCTTTCTTATCCGAATCTTTTATTTCCTTTTATTTTGATTCAAGACTTCTTTGAGCAGAGAAAAACAAAAATATAAGAAAGTTGTTTTACGAAATAAACTCTTCTCTTCTTCTTCATTTCTCTTCATTCTCTTTGTCCACTTTTTATTCTCATCTTTTTTTTTTGCATGAATGGTTTTTACTGAGATTTTTCCCCTATACATTTTTTTCCTTTATTCTAAATTCCAGAAGCGATTCTTTATATATAAAATATTAATATACCCATAATATAACGATATTATAAATTATAATTCTATATATATATATATATATATATATATATATATATTTCGGAAGTTGTAAATTTTCCCAATTTTTCTCGTAACGGAAATTAAATTACCGTTTTTAAATTTATTCTCGTTTTTATTATCAAATTATTAGAATAGAATTTCTCTTCTTTTGATAATAATTTCCTTTTTTTTTAAATAAAAATTCCTCTTCATTATAGTTAATTTTTTCGCACTATTTTTTTATTACAAGGGGGAAAAAGGGTATAAAAGTTTCTGAATGTCTTTTTCTTAATTTCCTGGAAATCTTCTTTTTTAATTTCCGAAATATGCATTAGTGTATAAAATATTAAGTATAGTAAAGTGTTATCACTTTTTTTTCCTCTTGTAATCGAATGAGAGAGTGAAGAAAAATATTGATTGAATTCAAAGGGGACGTCGTCATGCATGAAACACTTTAGACTGACATAATGGAACAATAATTTATTTCTGTTCAAACGTTTCCTGCCTTAGATAATAATTAATTGTCTTCATTTTGTGAAAGTTTCACTAGAGAAATATTATTAGACAAAAAGCATTTTTTCTACTTTTTAAATTAACTCTTTTTTCAAAAAAAAAAAATTTTTTAATCCCTTTTTTTTAAAAATAAACCTCATTTTGGAATTTTTACAAAAATGACCTTGTTTTAGCATTTTTATTGCAAGTTTGAGATTTTTTTTTAGTAAATTATGTAAAATTAAAAAATGGGAATATGCTTTAAATAAACGAAAAGTTTCAAAAAATTGGTTCTTTTATTCTTTTCAAAACACTTTTTCTTTTTCTTTTAATTTTAAAAAAATTCTTTATTTTTAAAAATAAAGTTTATTTTTTAAAAAAGAGGGTTTAAAATTTCTTTTTTTTAAGAAAGAGTTTTTGAATTGAAAAGTGCAGGAAGAATGCTTTAAAATTCACTAAAAAAAAAGTTTCTTTTGATAGAGTAAAATTTTCCTGTAATGTTTTAATTTCAAGGAAATAATTTTTTTTTTCGTGTAAATTATCTTTTTCTGGTACTAGCAATAATTTTGTTTGTCGTTGTCATGTTTGTTGAATATTTAGAAACGATTGTTGGTGTTTATTTGGTTGAGGAATTTAGCCCAGTAATCTTACAAGATTGCTGACTCTTTGGTTGAATGTACCGTGGAAGGATAATCCGTCGCGGTGAAAATTACAAACATGGCGCGAAAGGAGCGCATTATTAATGGGTTCATAAATACGACCCCTGTAATAAGCAGCATCCTTCAACGGCTTTCGAGTTACATTCCTGGCACGTCTTTCCCTCTCTCTCTCTCTCTCACTCTTCTTTTTTTTCCCTCCCCTTCGTCCCCCATTCACTGCTACTAAGTGTCTCTTTCGTTATCTATCTTCTTCTTTATTTCGCTTTTACTTTTCTTTTCTTCTTCTAATTTTTTCTTTCCTTTTCTTTTTTCCTTTACTTTATTTTTTGTTCTCTTTTCAATTTTCTTTCTACATGTTTTTTTTCTCTTTATTTTCTTTTTATTTTCTTTTTTCTCTTTATTTTTGAAAGTTTTTCAGCCGTATTAGATCCGCCATTTTGAATTTTGAAAAACTGACATCGGATTCGTAATCAGCGACCTCGAAAACCCTCGAGTAACAAAAGCTAAAGAAATTCATGCATTTTTTTGTGAATTTGTTATAAACAAATGTTATAAACAAATTATCAATTTGGACGTTAATATTCATGAATCTCTTTAAAATTTGTCACTCGGGGGTTTTCGGGTATGAGGATTTCGAATCCAATGTCAGTTTTTCAAAATTCAAAATGGCGGATCCAATATGTCACACAAATAATTCTCTTTATTTTCTATTTTTTTATTTTCTTATTTTTTCTTCCATTTTTTCCCTTTTCTCAGGTATTTTCTCTCTGTTTCTCCCTTTCTTCTGAAAAAGAAAATGAAAAAAATAATAATAAGAAGAAAAAGAATAAAAAGTCTTTTTTTTATTCTTCTTATTCTTTTTTTCTTTGTCTTCATCAGAAGAAAGGGAGAAACAAAGAGAAAAGACCTGAGAATAAAAAAAAGAAAAAATATATAAGAAGTCTTCTTTTTTTTATGCCACTTGGAAGCGTACACGTGCTCACCCTCCAACTCTTTTCAACCTGAAGTAAAAGCGCGCACCTGTAATTGCCAGTCCAACCGTTTGTCTTACTACACTCGGAGTGCAGATATTATTCACCATGTAACCGCACGTACGATAATAGACACTAATGGACGAGCAAATTAACTCTCGAAAAACGATATATCGCTTCCTGATGCAATTCAAATTCAGTTTGCAGTGTCAGAATTCCAAGTTTGAATTTTAATGTCCTGATTTTTTCCCTTTTCTCGAATGAAATGTATGTAATTTATTTTTTAAACTGAAGAAATGTGTGTAATTTATTTTTTAAAATAAAGAGAAAAGTTTTTTAGCTTTTATTTTATTGAAATATTGTTTAGATACTATGAAAATAGTAAAAATTTATATATTCGTTGTTGTGCAACGTGGCTGCGTGGTACTTTACATGCTTTGCGTCTCTATGGATTAGGGTTCAATCCCACCTGCATGGGGAATTTTTTATTTTTATACAAAAACTACTTTATCATAACTAATATCATTATTATTGTTATTATCATTACAACTATTTTTACTACTGATTTTACTACTATTTTTTACTACTATAATTTTAACTACTGTTTTTACTTCTAATTTTTTTTTTACTAAAATATTTATATGCGATTTTAACTATTTTTGAAGGGTATTTTTTCTCATTCTTCTTCATTCTCAAGTTTGAAAAATTGTGTGTGAATAAAAGTACACGAAAACAGTGCTTGATTTTCCTGCTCGACGTTTCAACTTTCTTCCCTCTCTCTCTCTCTCTCTTTCTCCTTTCTCTGAGTCTCTGGTTTCCCGATTTTCCCATCTTGGCGTCACAACTTCTCGACATAAATAATTTATCTCAACACGATGTGGTAGGAGATATTGCATTAAATATGAAACCCAATATAAACTTTTCCGCCTTACTAGCTATATTGGAATGAAACGATCTACGAAGATGCAGGTAGATCAGCACATTTACTCGATCTCTTCCAATAAAAATAAAATTTACATATATTTTTTCTTCTTTTTCAATCATAATGTGCATTCAGAAACGATGAGTTATCTTTAATTTATTGTATTATTTCATTTAAATAAAGAGAATTAATCTCCAGAAAAAGAAATTTATATTTTTGAAAATTCTTCAGTCATATTAGATCCGTTATTTTGTATTTTGCAAAACTAACATCGGATTCGTAATCAGCGACCTCGAAAACCCCTGAGTAACGAAATTTATAGAAATCCACGCATTTTTTTGTGAATTTGTTATAAACAAATGTTATAAACAAATTATCAATTTGGGCGTTAATATTCATGAATCTCTTTAAAATTTGTCACTCAGGGGTTTTCGGGTATGAGGATTTCGAATCTGATGTCAGTTTTTCAAAATTCAAAATGGCGGATCCAATATGGCGGACGACGTTTTTAAAAAATGATGGAATTTGCCTGAAACTTGTTACTCGGGGGTTTTCGAGGTCGCTGATTACAAATCCAAGGTCGGTTTTTCAAAATTCAAAATGGCGGATCCAATATGGCGCACAAATTGTTAAAAAATCGCATGGAATTTAAATGAAACTCGTTACTCAGGGGTTTTTAGGGTCGCTGATTGCGAATCCAATGTCAGTTTTTCAAAATTTTAAATGCATGATCCAATTTAAAGTAGTTATATTTTAGTAAGTTTTAAACTGACAGCGCAGCGGTGGGATTATTTGTAAAGAAGTAAAAATAAAATAAAAAAAAGGATTATTATTAGTGATGAGTCATTAATTAAATAGTATGACACTATTTTTCAGTAGATTTATAAAATTCCTTTCGTAAAGAAAAGAATTTTTTTCCGTCCCCCATATTTTTGACTGTTATCTAACTTTTAATCTTGCAGTAACTTTTAATAACGAACTGTTTTTTGTTCTCTTTTTTCTCTACAGAATGCAGAGACAAAGCCAGAGAAGCTCGGAGGTGGAGGTTGCGCGTATGCGCCCTATAAGCGCGGCAGGCTAATAGTCCTAAAGCCCATCCCCGACACCCTGCAGCCACACACCTGGTGAGTTTTTTTCCCTTCTTTTTTTTCATTCAATTTATTGTGTGACATTTTTTTTCATCTTCTAATTATACACTTTTCTGAATTTTTCAAAATACAAAAACAAACAATCCTAATAGAGGTACTAATAATTTTAAATAGAACGGAAAAAATTTTATACTACCATCAACATTTTTTTTTTTTTCATGAAAAAAATACTTTATTAGAGAACTTTTTTCTAACCCTATTTTTTTCAACAACAAAAAATAGTTCGTTTATTTTTTTAAAATAGATAATAGAGAGGAAATTTGATAAAAGTTTAATTGTAGAATTTTTTTTTCTTTTGCAATGAGTTTAAAAATGGAATTTGTGGATAAATATATACGGTGTGAATACTACCTGAAAGCGTTCATTAAGAGTTAAACCAGACTGTGTATAGAGGGGAGTAATAGGGAGGCGTTCAGCCAACAAAGCAGGCGGACAATCCGCTGTTTCCTGTGAGACTTTTTTTTTGTTAAAGTGATTGATTCTCTTTTTCGTAGAATACATTAATGGACAATAATGTGTATATAGTAAAGAATTACTGCTTCCTACGAAACAGCATAAATTTCAGTAACGTTTCACTCAACGTTTTCAAATAACAATTTTCCCCCTCCTCTCTTATTGACCCTCAAAATTGAGAGTATACGAAAAAGCCAAACCCATTTTTTTGTAGGTAATTTTATTATTATTATTGTTAATTTCCTCTATTAGTAGATTCCAAATGTTTTACTGATTTTAATTATAGCAATTATTTATTATTAGTTATAAGTAATATTTTTTTAGAAAATAATTTTTTAGAAAGAATATAAAAATTAAAATATAAAACGAATATAAATAATAATATAAATAATAATATCAATATTAATAAATAATTATAAAAATAATATTCTTTACTTTAACTCTAAAGATAGTTCGGCCGAATTCGGGGAGTGGGGGTATGGGTATACCCATACCCCCACTCCCCGAATTCGGCCGAACTATCTTTAGAGTTATTATATTAATTATTATTATTATATTATTTTTATTATTATTTTATTTTTATTATTATTATTATTATATTATTATTATTTTTATTATTGTTATTATTTATTTATTGCTTGTTTATTTATTTATTTATTATTGTTATTATTATTACAATTAACGTTTGAGAAGTTTGAGACTTATTTTGGCCTCAATTAGTTGCGAAATTTGAAAGTATAATTTTTTTCTGTTCGAAAGAAAATTTAAGTGCCAATAAGTGAAACATAACTCGTAAAGTGTCTTTTCTTTTTAATTGGAAATTCAACGTCGAGTTTATAGTCGACTATGAACGAAGCGACTCATTTCCAATTTTCCACTCCCTTACTTCTCATGAGTCAATGCACTCGGATTTTTTTTCTCCTTTCCTTCTTCTTCTTCTTCTTTTTTGAAAGACAGTCTTTAAAATTCATCAACATTAAAAAGTTTTTACATTCCACTTTATTTCCCTTCCATTAGAAATAAAAAAATCCCTAACTCTTTAAAAAAAATTTTTTTTAAGTTTGAAGAAAAAAATCGTATTTTGAAAAATAGATTTTTTATCAGATGGCAAGAGGTAAATTTTTTGAGATAAAAAATTCTTACCCCTCTTCAATTTTTAAACTTGAGAAAAAATTTTTTTAAATTAAGGATAAAATTATTTCTTTAAAAAGAATTTTTTTAACTTGAGGATAAAATTATTTTTTTGAAAAAATTTTTCTATTGGATGAAGAGTGGTAAGTTTTTAGGGAAAAAAATTTCTAGATGGAATTTTCTCTATAAGTTAGGAAATAATTCTCTCGGCATGTTTTGAATATGTAATCTTTTAGTAAAAAAAAAATCGTGTGACCTATTTTTTTTCGAAGAGAGAGAGAGAGAGAGAGAGAAAAGAAAAAAAAGTGGTGAGAGAAGAAAAATATATTTTTTCTTTTCTTTTTTTTTAAATAAGAAAGATCTAGAGCAGAATGGGCAACGGTAAATAAAAGATTCACGTTTATAGTAAAGGAAGCATAGCAGCAGGCGTCACGGATCGAGATGAACGCTAATTATATTGTCTCACTTTCAGGGCATCTTATAACGGCGCCCCGGAGACGCCTCACTACCATCTATTCCCTTCGATGAGGAGAAAATTACTGCTCTCAATTTTCCCCGGAAATAATATCAGCTTCCTTGGAATAAATAAATTTATATAGATAACTATGTTGGCGTCACGATAGTTTAGTTGTAATTTATATCGGTAATTTCAAAACTAGAAAAGATTCTCCCTCTCGCGATAATTTATTTTTATTTACATTCTTTCGAAAAGCTGTTTACGCTCCAAATAAAAATTTAGATTTTACTAATTATACTACTAACGTGGAATTCAATTTATTATTATTATTATTATGCAAATGAGAAAATTTTCTATTTTCAAATATAAATTTTTGAATATTCGAAAATTTTTGTATAATTCTTATTCTTTGCAAGAATTCAATTATTTTTATAAGTAGTAAATTTTTTTTGCTGAAATTTTATCATTTTTAGCAAAGTTTTAATAAAATTTCACGAAAAAATTCAATTTTTTTCTTAATTCGTTAAAAAATTTTCAGAATTTTTCAATTATTTTCTAAAATTTTAATAAGTCCTTCGAAACAATTCAATTATTTTTATAAATAGTAAAATTCTTTGCAAAAATTCAATTATTTTTATAAATAATAAAATTCTTTGCAAAAATCCAATTATTCTTTTAAATACAATTTTTAATAATACTTTTCGAAAAAATTCAATTATTTTCTAAAATTTTAATAAATTCATCAAAAAACAAATAAATTATTTTTTAATTTTCAATAACATTTTTTATAAAGCAATCGAATTATTTTCTAAAATTGTAATAAATCGTACAAAACAATTGAATTATTTTTAAAAGTAATAAAATTCATTGTAAGAATTAAATTATTTATTTATAAATAATAAAATTCTTCTCATGAATTTAATTATCTTCAATGCAATTTTAATAAACTTCAATAATCAAATATTTAATTATAATTATTAACAGGCTATTATTTTAAAAAGTAAAAAACAATTATTTCTTTAATTCAATTATTTTAAAATCTTTCAATTAAAATTATTTAAAAAACTATTTCAAAAAAAAAACTTTAAAAAAACTCTTCAAGAGAATTTAATTATTTACAAAAATTCTAATAGAATTGTTTCAGAAGAGTTTAATTTTAAAAGAGTTCTTTAATCGTTAAGAGTTTAATCTTTAGAGTTTAATCTTCGCAAAAATTTATTTTTAATAAAATTTTAAAAGTAAAATTATTAAATTACAATTATTAACAAAATCGATTATATTCATTAGATAAAAGAAATTTTTTGAAAGAATTTTATTGAATTAATGAATTAAATTATTTTAGAGAATTGTAATAAATTTTTGAGAAGAATTTAATTATTTTCTAAAAAATCTTAATAAAATACAATATAATTAAATGTTTTGTTTGTATTTCAATACAAATTAAATTTAAAATTTAATTAATTTTTAAATAAATAATTGTTGGTATAAAATAGTTTTCTAATTTTGGTAGTTTTTGCCTCTATAGTTAAATTTTTAATTGTTTTTGCCTCTAAAGTTAAATTTTGGGTAGTTTTTAAATTTACACAGGGTTGCCACAGGTCAGGAAAAAGTCAGGGAAAGTAAAATTGGTCAGGGAAATCAAGGAAAAGTTAGGGATTTTTATTAAAGTACTGGAAAGAATTGAATTTTGGAAAAGTTATAAATAATTGAAAAAAATTCAATTATGTTCAAAAATTAAAAAAAATTCTCGTCAAAATTCAATTATCTTTAAAAATAATAAAATTCTTCTCCGAATTTCAATTATTTTCAAAAATTTTAATAAAATGCTTTGCAAAATTTCAATTGTTTTAAAAAAATTTTCATCAGTTCAATGATTTTCAATATCCACTATTTTAATAACATTTTTCAAAAGAATTCAATTATTTAAAAAAAAAAAATGCTTATAAAATTCTAAGCAAACATTAAATTATTTTCATAAATAATAAAAATTACACAAGAATTCAAATATTTAAAATTTTTTTATAAATTTCTTCCAAATAATTCAGTAATTTTCATAAGTAATAAAATTTTTTAAAAAATTTAATTATTTTCACGAATAATAAAACTTATGATAGAATTTCAATTATTTTTAATACAATTTTAATCGAATTCCTCTAAAAATTTAATCATTCTTGAAAATTTTATTAAAATTCCTCGAAAAAATTCAATTATGTTGATAAAATTCTTTATGATACTTCAATTTATACACGGAGAAAAATATAAAGTAACTTTTACTACTTTTATAGTAAAAAAATTTCCAGTAAAGCATTTTTGGTAATTTTTACTACTTTTGGAGTAAATTTTGCTACGTTCGAAGTAAATTTTTGTAAAAATTAGTAAAATTTACTTCGAAAGTAGCAAAATTTATTACAAAAGTAGTAAAAATTACCAGAAATGCTTTACCGGAAATTTTTTACTATAAAAGAAGTAAAGGTTACATTACATTTTTCTCCGTGTAAAAACATTCATTTATTCAGTAAATTATTTATTTTTCTATTTAAATAATTGAATTGTCGTAGAATTTTCTAATAAAAATTGATTTAAAAATGAATATTAATGAATATATTAAAAGCATGAAAGCATGAATTTTTTAAAATAATCGAAAATTGAATTCTTTCGAAGAATTTTAATAAAATTTCTGAAAATAATTGAATTTCTGCAACGAATTTTATTACTTTTTACTTAAATAACTGAATTCTTTTAAAAACTTTTATTAAAAGAGTAAATTTTGAAAATTTTTGAAATTCAACGAAGAATTTCATTATTTGTAAAATGTAGAAATTTAATTCTTGCAAAAAAATTTTTGAATATAATTTCATTTTTCGAGAAATTTATTTAAAATTGTATGAAAAATAATTGAAACCCTGATGTGAAGAATTTTATTAATTTATGAAAG